TATATATATATATATACATATCTATGTGTGTGTGCGCGCGCGCCGTATAGTCAGATTAGTTGGTCGGACATCTACTTGTTTGTTGTAAGTCCCCTTTGATCTGGGATTCGATTCCTATATATATATATATTATTTATATTGATATATAGCCATAGATATATTGAAGTTTATAGCTCCTTTAATCTGCAGAAGTATCTGCCACTTGCTCTAGAAATTTACTAGAGCCCAATAATAACTTTGTTAAAATGCTTGGTTCTGTGAACCTTAAGACTAATCACAGTTATTGTGGAGCGGAGCAAGAAAAAGGTTGAAAAGTTTGAGTTCGACCCAGCGATGCCCCCTTTTGAGGTTTGTGATAGGCTATGGAAGATTTCTTCTCGGTAGCCCTTTTGCTCTTCCTACTGAGATATGGACTCTTAGGTACAAATGACTTGATCTTAAAAGATGATGGAATTTGCCCCTTGCTATGTTCTTACTAATTTAGATTTTTTGATAACTTATTAGTGAAAATGTTGATTTTGATGGCTGTTTCTTACAAGATTTTATGGTGTTAGTTGAATTAAAGTTTTACAATGTCTTATTTTGCATTAGATCAAGTGTTATGATACTCGTTCGTTTGCCGGTTTAATTGAAGGAAAGGGTTATTCAAGTTTTTTTAAAAAGCATTCAATTGTTATTTGCTTCTCTTCTAATTTTCATGTTATTATTACTCGCAATCTGTCATGAATTGCCATTGCCAATTAGGGATGGCTTCAAACTCTCTGGTTTTGAATCTAAATATTGAAAATGCATATAGCTGGATTTAATATTATGCTCTTGAGCCAACTATGAATCTAAATTGTTTGAAACAGGAAAAAAGGTTTTTATGTAGGTTTCAACTTTGAGAATCTTGTAAGTAAATCAAGATAAAAAAATAAGTCAAGGAAATATTGTGCTAGTATTAATAAAATATTTGTATATTTTTGTATGTGAGTCGAGTAAGCATCCTAGGCATAAAATTTTCTCCAAATTATGGCGATTTGAAATTTCACTCGAAACTGAAATAACAATGTTTTAAATTAATTTTTGATTGGCTTAAAATTTCTATTTGGGGCAGTTTTTGCGTTTCAGAATAAAGAACTTATGCTGAAATGCAGTCCGTGGGTGTCGACTCGCGGCCTGAGTTTAGTGTAAAAAACCAGCATTTTTAAAAACGTGCAAACCAAACACCGCACTTATAAGCTGCTCCAAACGGACCTTTAATTTCATGCAACTTTATTAGCTTTATCACGAAGTTACATTCATCTTCCTAATTGAATGCTTTTAGTATTTGCAAGTCAAAATGTACATAACATTTCTAATGATAATAATGTATTTTAATCTTAACGGTTAAAAAAATGGCGGGAGGCGATGATGGCTGACATTTAAGATCTTAAGTCTATTCTGGGTAATTTTTTCCCTCTTCAAATCGTCATGATAGCTGTGTTTAGTTATTTATTTGTTACTTCCTTTTTTGTTTTTGTTGGGAAGCTATTTCTTTTAACTAGATATGGTGAAATGGGATGATAATAGGAAAGTTGTCAATTTTTTTCAATTCACCTTACAGAGCCATGCATAATTATTTGGTGAAATGGGATGGTAATAGGAAAGTTGTCAATTTTTTTTCAAAAAGAAAACATATTGTTAATGTTCAGAGTAGCTTACAAAGAAATTATTTTTCTCACAATAAATTTATATCCTCATGTATAAAGAAGCTATGGTTGCCCCAAATGAACCCGTAAACTTGAACAGCTTTGAATTTTCTGATAAGCAGATATGCAATTCACCTTACAGAGCCATGCATAATTATTTGGTTAAACAGCTAGAACTTAAACAAGCCACATGAACTCATTTGTACATCTAAATACCTTAATAGTCTAATTAAAGTAAAGCTAGTTGGAAGTGACTGAATGTAATCATGATTAACTCATTCAAAGTATAGGTAATTCATTTGAATCATGATGAACTCTCCAAAGTAATGATAAAATTAACAAGGATTAAATCGCTTCACGAGGATCAAAGTGAGCTTTGCCTAAGCAGGCTCAACCCAAGATATAACTTAGCCTATTAGCCAAAGCTTAGAGCTATATGCCCATATGGCTAGTCGATGACTTCTTTAAGAATTCAACCTTTAACCAGGAAGCCAGGGACTTCATTTTAGCTAGTCAAAAGCTTCATTTTTTGAGCTAACAATATCTCCCGAGGAAACTTGGGATTTCAACAATATTGATGACTACTTAACCCAAATATTGCTTTGTGTCATCTATCCATGCATATTACATATTTTCATACTTTTCAATTTTACACTTCATGGGCTCTTATCTATTTTTTTACTTCTTAGTTAATCCATCTCGTAACATCAAAATTCTGAACTAGAACCTATAAATAAAGGGTCAAAGAGAAATTTAAAGGGGGCGAAGTTTTGGATATCCATCTCTTTGCGTTGTAAGGTTTTGAAAATTGGGTTTGACACTGAACTTGATGAACACAAGAGACTGAAAGTTCAAATGTTAGGGTTATAATAAAAATTTAATTGGAAGATGTAATAAAAAGTAATTTTATTTTTAATATAATTTAAATGATTCGAAATTAAACAAAAAAACTTAATATAATTTTTAATAATTAGAGAACGTCAATTTACTCTTCAATTCAATATATAATTGTCTAAAAAAATTCACTATTGAAAATTTTGAAAATGTTTAAATTAAAATTTTGGGATATGATATTTTCATTAATTTCTTTATACATAGTTTTATAGTTTTGCAAATAATAATAATAAAAAAAATTGAATTAGCATCACTACATTGGCACATCAATAACATTGGAAATTAAAAGAAATTTCCCCAACCTCTATCTTTTATTTATAAGACATTTAATTTCAAATTAGGGTTTCTTAATTCAAGCAATTTTTTATTTACAGCCATTTGATTAGAATAAAAAAAGTCATAGATTACTCAATATTAGAAATGAGTGGGTTATTAAAATCAAATTTGTTCACCAATTCCTTAGTTCAATAATCCATTTTGAACAGTTTAAGTCAGTTTAGTGCAAAAGTAGTTTTGGAATTAAACCAAACATTCATGGTTGAATCGTTCAGACATGACAACCCCCTTCAACTTTTAGAACCATGTTTTTGACTCTTGCTATTAAGATTCAGGCATTACATATGAACAACTTTGGAGCAAACACATAAAGTTGTTTTTTAAGAAAAATATACTAAATGACATTTTTATAAGTATAAATATTTGGTGGAATGTCACTAAAATTAACTTTAAAAATACTTGAAATGTTAACATCATGTCTTCACAGAAAGTTATTAAAATTGAAATCACAATGAAGAACATCAAAGTAACCTTCAACAAAGAATCAGCTTAATGTTTATGAAATCAACTTAAACATATATTAAATTTAAAATGAACAATAAATTTATTTTAAATTTGACAAGTTTATTTGATTTCTGAGGTTTAATATAAAAAACTATGGTGTGTAATTCCCTAAAATGCTTCCAACCAAGGGTTTATTGGGTTTGAAGAAAGAAGAGTACGGGTTAAAGGATGGATAACACAATCGAACGATAATGTATTTAAAATAATTTAATTTAATTGCTTGGGCATAAAGAAAATGTAAATTTTTTTCGTTTTTTTTATTTAAAGTTAAATATATTATTGAGGCGATAGACAACAATTGATGATGGACACCAACAGTGTGACATGTGACAGGGGTAGTAGTGGTAACAAACCAATGAGGACAGTGGGTGATGAGAGACAGTATGTCAAGCCAATTGTTGATAATAATGGCCACTAGTAGTCTTCATCAATTATGGGAACACATGGTGGGTGATGGCTAGTGGCAAGACGAGCAATGATGATAGTGGTAGTGGTGAGCAATGACGATAGTTACAACACTTGGCTAGGATGTCAAAAATGATAACTTGGGCTGTGTGTTTGGAAAATTTTCAGATTAACTAAAATTTGGGTTAATTAAACATGAACTAAAGGGTGAGTCTCAAATACACAAAAAATTTATATTACATTTTTTTAAAAAAATATTGAGGAATTACTATAAAATTGTGTGTTATGTCAAATGATTATATCCGTGATAGGTTTGGTCTTAGATGGTTTGGTCACATTAAACGTAGACCATCTGATGTTCCGATTAAAAGAGTAGATGTTTCAGATTCGACTTATATTAAAAAAGGTAGAGATAGACCTAGGAAAACTTGGGCATATTGTATAAAAAATGATCTTAATTTATTAGAATTAAATGAAAATATGACACTAAATAGAACACAATGGAGAAAAAGAATTCATGTAGTCGACCCCACTTAGTGGGATAAAGGTTTTGTTTTGTTGTTGTTGTTATATGGCCTAAACTAATCCCAAGGTCTATGTCTATGCCTTGCCAATCATCTAACTAGGAAATTATACAAAAGATCTTTTTGTCACATTGGGCCAGCAACTACAATATTGGGACAACTCACAAGTAGAGATTAAAGTCATCCTTTCCATTCGACAAGTCAATGTACTATGGATGTTTGAGTGAAAATGTATTATCATTGAGTGAGATAATGCTAACGTGATTAACTTCTTTGGGAAGTTCATGCAGTATAGAGTTAGTTAAGCCCGTCTTTTTGGCCACCCAAACTTTACAATCCTCCTACAATTTAATAAAGTCATCTTTTAGCACATTATCAAAGAAGGAAATCGATTTACACATTATTGTGCTGATTTGGCCCTTAAAGAAGAGTTATCCATGAATTTTTTTTAAGCAACATGCTCTCTTTTTCTTGTTAGAGCGTATAATAGATCATTTTGGTATATCTTTGGTAACATTTTGATATAATAATGCAAATACAAAATTTCAAGAACTAAGACATCACTATGAAAAATAAATTGCAACCAACATACATTTACAACAAGATACATACCAACACCACTATGTTACAAATGTAACAACAAAAGTAAAAACAAAGTCAAATGATTGAAAAAAATTGGAAGATACAAAATTCGATGATAAAAAGACTTTCAAAATCTAGTATACAACACACTTTAAAAATGAAGGTTATTTGACATTATCATCAAATAGATCACCAGCAATGCACTAAAAAATAGTTACAAACTTTTCAAGCTCATAATGATCATAGGATTTTATGAAATCACTATTGCTTCAAAGAAAAATATTATTTAGTTTTTAATCACAATTAATTTTAGTGAATTCTAGCAATAATCATACATAATCCATGAAGAATTTTATTCAATTAAAAAAATTGAATAAATGAAAATATGTGTTTAGAAACTTGCTTGAAAGAATTAAACTAAGAACAACTTTCCATAATAAATTTGCTTCAATGATGTGATTAGAGAAGAAGGGGGTCTCTAGTGTTGTATGAAGCTAACAAAATTTGAACTACAAAATAATTTTTCGAAGAATTTTGTTAGATAAATGTACTATATTATTATTTGAATATTGTATTTGACCATTTAGCTATAAATCTTTTGAGATCTATGATGGCTACAGGGTAAAAACCCCCACCATTTTCTTCTATGAGGAAGACA